CTTTTCTGGCGGCGCATGTGGCCGCCCCGTGCTCCTGCGTGGGTAACTGCCCGCCGCCTGCATCGTCACCAACGGCTGATCCCTCTGGCGGCCCTGGCCAGGAAGCGAGGCCCAGCTGGGAATCATAGAATTATTTGGGTTGGAAAAGGCCTTTAAGATCATCAAGTCTAACCCTGCCATCCCACCACTAAACTGTGTCCCTGAGCACCTCATCTGCCCGTCTTTTTAATACCTCCAGGGATGGGGATTCAACCACTTCCCTGGACAGCCCGTTCCAATGCCTGACAGCCCTTTCAGTGAAAAAATTTTTCCTAATGTCCAAACTAAACCTGCTCTGGCGCAACTTGAGGCCATTTCCCCTTGTCCTATTGCCCGCTACCTGGAAGAAGAGACCAACACCCACCTCTCTACAACCTCCAGTCAGGCAGTTGTAAAGGGCGATAAGGTCTCCCCTCAGCCTCCTCTTCTCCAGGCTGAACAACCCCAATTCCCTCAACTGCTCCTCACCAGACTTGTGCTCCAGACCCCTCACCAGCTTTGCTGCTCTCCTCTGGTCATGTTCCAGCAACGCAACGTCTTTCTTGTACAGAGGGGCCCAAAATTGAACACAGGATTCGAGGTGCAGCCTCACCAGTGCAGAGTACAGGGACACGATCACTCCCCTGCTCCTGCTGGCCACACTATTCCTGATACAAGCCAGGATGCTGTCGGCCTTCCTGGCCACCTGTCCAGATCCCTCTGCAGAGCCCACTTCCCCTCGAACAGATCAACACTCCCACTCAGTTTGGTGTAATCTGCAAACTTGCTGAGGGCGCACAACTGGAAGATGCACTCTTCAGATATAAACAGCGGTAAGCTGAACTTGCATAAGAAGATAAACTTGGATGCATTGGTGTGTACTTCCTCACTACATTTCAAACCCACCCCTCTTTGTGGGGCGTGCTGGAGTAATCGCAGTATCACGGTCTCTGCACCCAAGGGCTTCTTTGGCCCCACACCGTGTCAGGCTAGAACTGGCTGTGGGGAAGAGCCTGCGCTTTGGTACCTCATCAACACACACTACTCCTGCTGCCTCTAGACCTGTAACTGGTGACTTTGTTGCTGTGAGAAACAGTTGTTCTGGTACTTGGCTAATGAATTGAAGGGCAAAAGCAAAACCACAGTATAGTGGAAGTAATGAGTAAATTCAAATAGGGAGAGAAATGGCAGCTTTAAGAGCCTTGCCAAAGTGAGCAGCCATAAAAGCTAAATGTTCTTGGGGAGACAGAAGCCCCACGAAGAGCAATGATGAAGACCTTGCACGGATGCACCTGGGTGGGGAGGTGACTGAGGCCCTGTGCACAGATGTGCAGGGCTTGAGTAACTGCCTAAAAAGCAGGGGGGGAGGGGGAACTGGAAGGAAGTTTGCTTAGGAAGTGAGGTACCACTTGGTGGAAAGGGAACAAAGGATGTTGCTGCTAAAGGAGATGTCTAGGAGCTGCTCCACTGAAGCTAACAATGATGGAGGGCTCCTGATGGTCTTCCAGGAGAGCATGATGGAACTGCACCCCTTGGGGCTTCACTCACTAGACTTCACCATGGTCAGAGGAGAAGAACCTGGGACAGCAGTTGATTAAGCAGATGATAGCAAAAGCCTTGGGTGCTGTGGCTAACTACAAGCAAACAGTAAGTTACAGTTTTACAGTAGTGGTTGGTTAAAATCAGTGAACTTCACTTTCACGCTGTCTCAAATGCATAATAGTTAATCTTCTCCCCAAGTTCTGAATTTAATGATACAGTTGTTAAATTCCAGGCTCTACACAGTAAAGAGAAAAAATGTGGTTTAAGGCTGTCTGAAAAGTAAAGACAGAGACAACAAACACTCCTTTTGTTTCTTTGCTGCATGAAGATTATTCTGCTACGTGCTTCTGTGGCCATTGCATTGCACTGGAGAGGAGTCTTGGGCTCTTGGGAAGTGGCTGCTACTGCCAGCCTCAAATAGTGTGTCTGGTATGCATCCCAGTCCCAAATTGCCCCCAGAAAACAGTGAGCCACATTAGTTGTCTCGGTGGGCTGCAGATTAAGTCACACCCCTGCTCTCAACATCAGATTCTGACTTTCAATGTTTGACATATATGTGTATGACTGGGAGAGTAATAAACTGATCTTGTGAAACCCTGGATTAATTGTTTCCAGCTTGAAATGCAGTGAAGTTAATAATGTACTAACCAGTAATTCTTCTGGCAGTGAATTTGGAGTTCCTAGTCTGGATTACCATAGGGCTGCGTCTCTCATAATAATCACCCTATCCCTATTGTTCAGCAGTTTCATTGTTCCAACACAAGGCAACTGCTGCTAATTGCTTAAGGCTGCTATACTTCTGACAGCAAAGGAGAGGGGGAGGTGAAGGGAGAAGTCCTTTGCTCTGAACTTAAAGTCCTGACAAAAGCTACTGAGATAGTGCCCTGTGGAAATTCCTGCTCTGGAAGTGTCAAATTTTGTCTTCCCCCCATATCCTTCAGTTGCACAGTATCCCCAAACTGCTCTTACTCTGGACCTTCCTCACCAGCCCACTCATTTCCCACACCCTTCTTTGAATTCCCAACTTGATTCCCCTGGGTCAGTGCTGGCACACCAGTTGTCTGCAGTTGTTCTCTGGTAGCTCCAGAAGCAGAAAAATGGGACTTGGTATCGCTATTGGGAATTTTATTTTTCTTAAATATCACAGAGGTAGCCAGTGCCAGTTATCTGCGGTCCTCTTTGCTCTGTTACCTCTTCCTCTGGCTTCTTTATTCTTACTCAGTCAAGTATGAGGCAGGTAGTAGGAGCTGGAAGTGGAAATGAGGGAATGATGTCCACCCTCTTCCTGCACCCCTGGACCTCACCCCTGTCTCCTTTTGACCTGGTACTTTATCAACTAGGAAGGGGGGAGAACAGCAGTAGGAAGCGATGTGTAACTGTGAGGGGATGGTGGTGGTTGCTGCCATTCTACTTCTATTGCTGTGTTGGAGATATGCACATGGGAGGGGATGATAGGAAGAGAAATGTGGGAGCTGGTAGGAACAGGTCGTGAGAGTCCCTTCCTCCCTGCTTCCTTCAACCACACACAGAGGAGGGGTGATGGATGAGGAAATCAGGGACGTAAGGGAGTCTTTGCCATCATTCTCACATGTGCTGGGTGATGAAAGCTTAGCTTATGTTATTGTGTTTCTAGTGTGCCTAGTTGTAACTTGTTGGCTTCGTGGCTACCCTCAAAAAATAAGCAAAAAGAATAAATAAAGTGTTGGGAAATCAATCCTGTACTGGCAAGAAGAGTATCAGGATAGCACAAGTTAGTCTTTTTTAGGTTTTTGTGTCTTGAAATCTGATGCTCAACCAAGATGATGCTGGCAGCAAGCACAGAAAATGTCCAAAGTCAGTTGGAAGCTTCATATTAAGCCCAAAAATCACGTCCCAGCTCCTAGTGGGAAGCAGAAAGATGTTGCAAGAGTACTGTGCAAGTGCCAAAAAGAACCTGAACATCTAGTTCTGTAATTTACCTGATATGTGGAGGAGTAATTGTTCACAAGGCAAGCAGAGCACAGTATAAACCTAGTGTTCTCTGAAGCCATGAACCACTGCATCTTGGAAATGTGCTTAATCCTAGTTCTATAGTGAATTAGCTCTGGATTAACTTCACCAGCAGAAACCTGTCTTAGATCTGCCTGGGAAACACCTTGGGATCACAACCTTGACACAGGCTTTGTGTAGGAGTAAGTGTACCTACTGGTCAGAGCACTGGTGCCTTCCAGCTATCCCAGACTGTACCACAGCACCCTGAGCAACTGTAGTGACAAAGTGGCATAAAGTGGAAATGCTGTCATGTCTTCCTGGCAAACAATGGGGATCAAATTTGACCTCAGCTGTTTGGAGTTAATGACTATTGCAACTGTGTAAGAGTGGCCAGAGCCTTCTTTAAAGCATATTCAGCCAAAGGTCGGCCTTTGGAACAAAAAGCTACCTTACTGCAGACATGGATGTAGGCACAGCATTCTGTCTCTGGCTCATGCTTTTTTCCAGTGCCGGTTCCCCAGCATTGGGCTAAGCACCTAAGTTTCTAACACATGGCAGAATTAATTGCCTTAAAATGGAACTGACAACAGATTGGCCCAGTTCTGTCATGTCTAAAGAAAACTTGTGTTAGAAACTTGTAAGAGCTGCTCAGCTGGGACTAGCCACTGT